TTTTTTCCTAAAAAATCTCTGATTACACGTGTCTCCCCAACCTAACTTATGTTTGATTTTTGACAAACATCCATCAATCGAGCGTGCATACAAGAATCTTGATAACGGTTGGAAGGATCCTCCATCAACGCATGTGTATTGCATAAGACACATCACCCAAAATTTCATGACAGAGATCAAGGACAAGACGTTGCGGAAGAAGGTTGTGAATGCAGGATATGCACTAACAGAGCCTTCCTTCAAACACTACAATGATAAAACCAGATTGACAAATGCAAATGCATTAAGATGGATCAACAATATTCAACTAGAGAAATGGACCAGGGCATACGATAATGGCCAACGGTGGAGCCACATGACAACAAACCTTGTTGAATCAATGATTTCTGTATTCAAGGGCATCCAAAACCTACCGATAACCGCTTTGGTAAGGGCAACAAATTTTATGCTCGGGGCACTTTTTGATATCAGACATACAAAGTAGAGTTTTGTCTTACAATCTGGACAACTGTTCAGTGAAAGTTCAATGAAATTCATAAAGGACGAAGCTGCCAAAGCTAACACACATGTGGTCACAATGTTTGACCGTAATAAGGGTTGATTCAGTGTTGTTGGGTCAATTGATCAGAATGAAGGGAGGTCTAGGGGATGCTACCGAGTGGAACTAGATAGGAGTTGGTGTGACCGCGAAAAGTTTCAGGCATTTTGTATGCCTTGCTCCCATGTAATAGCAACATGTTCAAAGGCTCACCAGGACCCTACTAACTATCTCTCTGTTGTTTACCAAGTCATTAGTGTAAGAGCAAGATTTATCTTTACATGATTATCTTTATGTTTTGATGATAACAATTAAGTATTTGTGAAAGAACCATTTTATGTTCTAATGTTTGTCATGTGCAGATCATGATAATTAAATATATAAGATCAAACAAACAACATCAACGTGTGCAGCTAATACAATATGAGAGTTACTATGTGTGACGTATCATAAAGAACTTATGGGAGAATCTAGTTTGCTTATGCATCTGATCACGATCAGAGAGATCCAAGGACGCTGGATATTGCAGTTGTAATGCTCCTGTGGATTCTGCTTTGAATAGTGCATCTGATCTGAAAGCAAACAAAGCATATTGAAGAAGCAAGTATGTATTTGTATCTGATCACAATTAGAAAGATCTAAAGATGCTGTATATTGTAGTTGCAATGCTCTTGTGGATTCTGCTCTGAGAAGTGTATCTGATCTGGAAGCTATCAACGCATCTGAGAAAGTCCTCTGAAGAACCAAGCTCTGAAGACTTGAAGTTCTGAAGGCTGAAGGCTCTGAAGACCAAGTGCAGAAAGACTCTGAAGACTTAAAGGGTTCTGAAGATCAAGACTCTAAAGATATAATTCTCTGAAGAATTATGTGCTGAAGACTCTGATGACTTGAAGCTCTGAAGGCTCTGAAGACCAAGTGCAGAAACACTCTGAAGACTAGATTCTGAAGATAAAGATTATATAGCTTCACCCAGATGAAGACGTGTTAATCAGATAAGCTGTTGCTATCAACTCTGATAAACAAGGTGCTGAAGTCAGACTCTGATGTTATTACACTATCATACAAAAGTAGTTTCTAAACTACTCATCTGATACATCATCAGAAGAACCAAATCCAGAAGCTGATCTGTCCAAGCTGATAAATGAAGATCACATCATTTGTAGATAAGAGCTGTCTCCCACAATGATATATTAACGTTGCAAGAAAAGGAAAAGAAAGTGATGTCAGTACTATACAACACGTGAGTATTCTATCCGTTGGGAAATGACCGTTGGAATATTTGAATGGACATCTCTACCCTCACAACGTCTCCTTTGAATGCACCAAAAAAGAAGAGCATTTGATTCATTCAAATGTTAGCTTGTTGGCAAGCAGCTAGCAAATTACAAAGTAAGGAGCTCATTACAAAGCAAGCCAGCTTGTTACAAAGCAATGATGGTGATGAGTGAAGTTAGCAACATAGTAGAGTAACAAGAAAAACTTTATGCTAAGAAGCCACAATGCTCACATAAGAAAGCTTTTAAGCAATATGGAAACTACTGTTCTAATAATCTCATAGAGATTTATCTTTATATTAGTTTCTGTATTAGGAAGCAAAAAGCTGTTGCTCAATACTTGCTATGTACTTAATTAGGAGTAATCTGCTTGATAAGAAACACTCATGTAATCTCTGGCAACACAAATTCATTTTAGAATTAGTGGCTCCTCAAGTGATCTTGTGAAGATCAGAATACTTGAGCTGACAAGTGACAGTTGTCATTTGTGGTAACTAATATGAGATCTTAAGTGATCGGATTCTATTAGGTGTTAATGAACGTTATATCCTAAGGGATCCCTGAACGTGTCATTGTCTATTTGTTAGTCACCTGCAGTTAGCTTGTGCAACTGTAATCAGTTTGGTTATAGTGGATTAAGTCCTTGCTTGAGTAAGGCAAAATCACCTTGGAAGGGTGGACTGGATTAGCTTGAGAGTTGCTCAAGTCAACCAGGATATATCATGTGTTCTTTACTTGTGTTATGCATTATTATTTATGCTTTCGCAATGCATCGTATAAAACTCTATAGAAAGCAACAAGTGAAGAAACCAAGAAAAAGTTTTAATGGAGCAAATACCCAATTCAAACCCCCCCTTTCTTGTGTATTTCTCACACCTTCAATTTGTCTATGCAATGTCTATAGCACTACCTTTCAGGTGGTAGCAAAGGAGGACTATTGACCTGCATATGAAGGCGAAATTGTCTGGCATAATGATCTGATGCAAAGAAAGCAAAATGGTCGCCCTAATAGCACACGTATTCAAACGGAGATGGATACGACAAACAAAATGGTCAGATTATGTAGTTCGTGTCGTCAGCTCGGGCACAATCAGACAAAATATTCCAATGTAGGATCAAGCACAACATGATAGTTTCAAATTTAACCTTGTCTATTTATATCAACAACAAATTTCATTCCATTAATAACATAACTAAGCAATTACAGTTAACAATGACATTACTTAAACAATCATAACTTAATACCATAACAACAACAATTAACAATAACTTAAACAATAAAAAAAGTAAAACAAACAAATACAATAACACAACAACATAACTAAGCAATTACAACCATTAAGACAATTTCCTAAGAACTATACATCAACGTATGAACATCTTGGAAATTAGTAACATTCTCCCAGAAACGAACTTCTCCATTTTGGTTGAACGTGGTAACAAGCCTTTGAATTCTTCTGATCTTTTCACCCTATGGAATGTCTCCATCTAGCCAGCAGATCAAACTACTCTTGAGATGTTCTAACGTCAATGTATTCTAGAGGCGAATCTTCATCGAAGGTTTGACTAGGGAGAAAATTAAATTGCCATTTCTCTTGGTGATATATGTAACCTGATAGATATATGAGGATGACGAAGAGGAAGAAGATGAAACCATTTTAACTGAAAAATAAGAAAATATGAAGAGAATGGAGTGCAGAGAAAATTGAGACGTTATTGGAGAGACATACACTAGTACTCATATATATATATATATATATATATATATATATATATATATATATATATATATATATATATATATATATATATATATATATATATATATATATATATATATATATATATATATATATATATATATATATATATATATATATATATATATATATATATATATATATATATATATATATATATATATATATATATATATATATATATATATATATATATATATATATATATGAGAGGATAGTATGATTAATTAATAAAAATTTGAAAAAAAATTAAAGAAGAAAACATCATATGATATGGCGGATGCATGCATGCATGATATGTAGGCGCCATATGATATGAATTGGGGTACATATAGGGCTGGAAATGAGTCGAGTCGAGTCGAACTCACCTCAGCTCGGCTCGACACGTTAAGAATTGTTCGAATTCGAGTTCGAGTTCGAGTTTGACACGAACTTTTTTTTAAGCTCAAACTCGACTCGTTATAAGTTCACGAACAGTTCGGTTCGACTCGTTAGGTTCATCTCATTAGGTTCAGCTCACATGGTTCACGAACTTAAAAACTATTTTATATATATATATATATATATTTTAGTATATTTGATATTTTAAATAAATATATATATTTTAAATAAAATATTAAAATAAAATAAAAGTTATCATATTGAAATTTAACTTTATCTTCGAAATCTACTAATTCAAAACCTACACAACTTTCAAGAGATACATTTGAGAGTCTAATTCAAAAACTACTAAATTGAAGATTAAATTTGTCTAAGATTTGAAGTAAATATTTAAACCTAATCTTAAAGACAGTATAATTCTTTTCATATGTAATCGAGTTGACTCATGAACCTAACGAGTCGAACTATGTATAGTTCAAGTTCAGCTCATTTAGTTAACGAACTTAATTTTTCGCTCATACTCAACTCATTTGGTTCATGAACCTAGTTCAACGATTTAATTATCGAGTCGAATTCCGAACTATCTTCGAGTTGGTTTGGTTCATTGCCAGCCCTAGGTACATATATAAGTCATATGATATGACGTATATGTACAAACCCAAATGCATTCGTTATATCATATGATGCATCTATGTTAATTCTTTCAAAAACTACTCCATTCTAATAAATTTTTTTAAAATGTGATTATTTTTGTATTTTTCTTGAATATATAAGTTATTCTTAAAAAAATTCGCAAATTTAAGTAAAAAAATGGCAAATATAAAGTCTAAAAGTTTTCCACCTACACCCCTGAAGCATTGTATTCCCACCACTTTAACATTCCGGTTTCAGCGCAAAGAGGGACTCTCACCAAACCGTTACTCCTAATTAACATCCGCGTACAAAAGAAACCACCGTCAACAGAAATTCGCACAACTTTTCCGTTTCTTTCGGTGGCAAAACGCAAACAACAACCGCTTTTGGTTTGAACTTGTTCCTGTTAAAATAATGGGCAGTGATGCAATGAGAAGCGAAGGGTACTATACGCTGAAGGATTTAAGTTTCGATTTTAAGGAATATGAAGGAACTTTCTCTTTCTGCTTTTGGGTTTATTTCATGAATTCCACTACATTCCCTTCTGTCATTCTTCACCAGGTCAATTTTTCTCTTTTCGATTCTTTACGATTTTATTTGCTTTTATAAAGGGTTTAACATTTTGATTAGAGCTGTGTATGTAGCTTTAAATTTAAAAGCAACAATTTGTGCTCATTGTTTTTCTGATCAGTAAATTGAACATTTTGAATTAGGTAGATCAAACTTGCAAATCATTAATTTGTTATGTGAATGGCATTCTCACTTGAATTTCAATGTGTGTGTTTAGTGTTAGAAGAGCAGTCTCATATTATTATTATTATTATTATTTAAACTGTCTTATAGAGGCAGCAACTAGTTTATTATGGGGTGAATTTTTTTATTATGCATTAAAAAGCTTTGTGAGTGTGGTTGTCACCATTCATAGTTCTCAAGTTTTCGTAGTTTTATTTAGACTTGAGTATTATTGATTAGGGGAAGGCGTAAGGTACAGTGTGTCTAGAGAGATTATGTGAAAACCTCTAAAGAAAAAAGGAGTTAGGATTGTATACATTTGAGCTATTTAAGATGTGTATGAAGGGGTATCGACTAGTTTATGGATACAGGGTTGGGACGATTTTACCATTAGATTAGATTTGCATCAAAGTTCAACCCTAAGTCCCTACTTATTTATCTTAATTTTAAATGTACTCATGAAACACATCCAAGAGCTAGTACCGAGATGCATGCTTTTTGCAGATGATATAGTCGTTTTTGGAGAGTCAAACGATTGAAATGAGAGGTTGGAGATGAGTTTTAGAAACACATGGTTTTCACCTAAATAGAAGTAAGACGGAGTATATGGAATGTAAGTTCAATAAAAGAAGAAGCGTTTCTAATATAGAGGTGAAAGTTGGAGACCATATCATCCTTCAAGTCACACGGTTTAAATATCTTGGGTTTGTAATACAAAGTGATGGAGAAATAGAAGGGGATATAAACCATCGAATTCAAGCTGGGGTGACTGAAATGGAGAAAGGGCTTCAGGCGTATTATGTGACGTGAAAGTACCACTCAAGCTGAAGAAAATTTTTTATCGGACTGCAGTAAGACCTGTGATTTGTACGGGATATAATGTTGGGCGGTTAAAAATCAACACGAGAATAAAGTTAGTGTAGTAGAGATGAAGATGTTGCGGTGTATGTGTGTTAAGACTCAACAATATAAGATTAGAAATAAAAATATTAGAGTATTGGAGTAGCGCCAATAGTAAAGAAAATGGTGGAAAATAGACTTAGGTGGTTTGGGCATGTAGAAGGAAGACCTATAGATTCTGTGGTAAGGAGAGTAGACCAGATGGAGAGAAGTCAAATTAGAGGAAGAGGAAGACCTTGAAAGGTTATAAGAGAAATTGTTAAGAAAAATCTCGAGGTTAATGATTTGAAAAGAAACATGTTCTTTGATAGAACATTATGACGAAATTTGATCATATAGACGATCCCACTTAATGGAAAAAAGTTTGATTGTTGTTGTTATTGGGTATTATGTAATTCCCAAATCTCACGGTGGAGTATTTAAGCTATTTAATTCTTTTATCAATATTCATTGATAGTTAGCTTTTAAGAGAGAATTTCTCAAGGGCTTGAATATTTTTCTTTTGGTATGGTATCAGACGTAATTGGTGGTGGCTCCCTACAGAGGTGTTGATAGGAAAGATTAAGTAAAGTTTATAGAGTGTTTATAGAGTGCAGCTATCGGGACTTCGGCTCTTAGGATAGTGCTGGCTCTCAGGATAGTGCTATGGGATTATAGGGTGCTCACGTTGAAGAATATGCATTGTTTTAGTGGAATATTTAAGTGGCTTGCTTCTTGATAGGATTTTTGAGGGAGTCTTAAACATTTGAGTAAATTATTATATTGGACTAAGAGCAATCATATAAATGGATTTAAACACAACATCTTAGCTTAAAACTTTCATGTATAAGTTAAATACTATATGTTAACTCAAAACTTTCATATATAAGTTACACAGGTCATCTCACTTAAATGTTGCTCAACATCAATCTTTCGATTTAATATGAGACTTCTAACTCATACTTGACACATCAACATTCTCTCTTTCAAGTGTGAGACACTTGATATTTTAATCTAGCACCGGGAACTACGCCCGTTCTCCCACCAAGTCAAACTATACTCTCATTCCACGTGGGGAGGTGAATCATCACATTGAACTAAAAGTAACAACACATGTGAGTTTGTACAATCTTCACTAAAAACTTCTCACTTAAGTATTGCACAAATACTTTTTTTATCTAATGTTGGACTAATACTTACAAATCAACACCGTCTCCCTCAAATGTGAGTCTTTGAGTGTGCTTGATCTATCCTTGATCCATCAATTGGAATCACTCCTGCTCACATAGAACCCACCATGTCAAGCCAGACTCCAATACCACTAATGTGATACCTGAAGAGACTAAAATCTATATTGACAATAGCACGCTATAGCGGCACTGTGCCGTAGCAGTGGTAAGGTTTGACTTGACGCTTTTGGTCTGCGAGCCACCGTCAGCAATAGCGGTTGTTGTGGTCACTAATTGTAGCAAAACTGCAGTTCCAAACCGCTATTGCATCTACTATTAGGCTTTTAGGGATAAATTCCTCAGTTTTTTTCAAGCGGTTGTCTTTTTTTAAGGGTATAAATTTCAATCCGTTTCCTTTTAAGAATAATGTTCTGTTCTTCATTCTGTTCTTGCTCACAACAGTCGTTTGGTTATTCTTCTTACTTTTATTTTAGTTCTAATTATTTTCTTTTTCTCTGCATAAGTTTTATTCTTCATTAATTATTAAGTATGATGGTCTCTTTACTCTTGTGTATTTTTTTAGTTGAGTATTTTTTTTGATTATTCATCCACTTATTTTTAGTCTTTGCAATAGGAGTTATCTAGTTATCCGTCAGTTTTGTAGGGATGAGTTAGATCTAATCCAAATTCTAAGATGGGAACAAAGCTAGATTTAAACTCCATTGGACCACCTGCTAAAAGGTTTCTGTTATTGGGCCACCTACCATTTAGGTCCATGTTCCAGATATCCAGTCCTGTACATGAGGGGTATGTGTTAAAAGTCCCACATTAAAATTGAGTTAGGCTCAACTACAAGTCTACACACCTCTCACGCCGACAATTGAACATCTAGACCGGGAACGTAAATGGTTCATAGTTCAATAGCTGAAATTTGATACCATCTTAAAATTTGGATTGAACCTAACTAATCCCTTTCAATGTGGGACCATATCCTTTTTAATGCTGGATCAAGTCCACCGTCTATACCAATTTGGCAATGTGGCTTCCTGAGATAGCTATGGTTGAAAGCTGTTATAACCAATTTTTTACCTGCGATACTTTATCATTATGTCCTTTTTTGTGGTATTATTCTGTTTTTAATCTTTATTTAATTAGTAAAAGGGCAGGTAGCTAAATAAGTTAATTGGGTTTGCAGATTCTCGATGACATTTCTGAAAGTGCTCCTTTTCTCGTTATTAGCGATAATAACAGAATCAATGTTTTCCCAGTTCTTTACTTACACGAAGGAGCTCCTGCAACTTGCATGGGTTCTTGGACAGAAGTTCCACATGCTACTGTTGATTTTGAGTTTCCTTTGGAAAAATGGGTTCACATTGGATGCGAGGTATCTTATGTAACTGCTTGAGGATTAGCTCTTGCCATTTTTTTTATATGTTTCTATGTTTATGGCTTTTATTTCACTAAAATGTCATTTTGCACTCTACACTAGATTGTTTATGAAGCATGGACACCCCGAACACGACACTGACACGACAACACCGGTAATAATGTGAGAAAATAAATAAATTAAGCGTAGTAATCACAAGTGTCGATGGCGGTGTCCGACATCGACACAGACACGGACACACCTTTTTTCAGAAGTGTCGGTGCTACATAGTTTATTACTATCTGTACTTATTATGAGCTGAAAATAATATTCGTCTCTAATTATTAGACATATTTATGTTGAAAATTCCGTTTTTATTGCGGTCCACCTCTAGTCCGTCTAAATTGCGGCATTTGGCTTGTCTTCATTGTGACCTTCAACAACCTTATTGTCTTGGGTGTGAAGGGGTGTATTTAGTCTCACATTGTTTAGACATATGACATGTGTAGTGTTTATAAAGCTCGAGCAGCCCTCACTTTACAAGTCAGCATTCTAAGGATGAGTTAGACCTCATCTTACAAACTAGTTTTGTAGGGATGAGTTAAGCTTAACCCAAATTTTGGTGAACACATGGAACACGTTCCTTGCTGCTATTTGTTGATATTACTATTAGTCCATTCCTTTTTTCTTATCAATTTTTTTCGAGGGGGGATATGAGGGGGCTACCTTCTTTTGTCATTACAGGTTTGTCCAAATTATATCCGGCTTCACATTAATGGAGAGGTTGTAGGAGAAAAGGCAATGTCTTCCTTATTAAACAAGGAATCCAATTCAAATAATTTGAAGGGTATAACTTTGGCTAATGTATGTGGAGACAGAAATATTGTGCAGGGTTATGTGCACAATTTTGAAGGATTCCATACTGTTTCTTCTATCAAAGATCATCATTTAAAGGTGATGATGTGCATGCGATTGTAATTTTGGTTTTTGAAATTCAACGTTAGTTTCTCATTTGTTTGTTTGTATGTTCTCTTAGATTATTAGAATTAGCACCACACTATTCCTGTGTTGACAACTATACTTTATCTTATATCAGGACCCTCCTCTGAAGTTATCAATCGATGAATCATCTGTCTCTGAGGTTGAAGAAGAAAGTGACGGTGTTTGGGGCATTGTTGGTGGAAAAGTAAGAAAGATATTCTGTACACAACATACTGTTAGTCTAATTTATGTCTTCATTTTTATTGTTATGAGCCATAATGACAGATATAGGGTAAGCCTTCCATTTTTATTGGAGTTTAATTTTGGAAATACGTGATTCACTTTATGTTTGTCGTTTTTGAAGTACTTTATTTAGGTACTCACATACTGATCGTAGTTCTAGAAATGTTCTTAGTAATTATTAATGTTGTTACAGTTAGTGCTCACATACTGATTTCACTTCTAGAAATGTAACTATTGACATTCACCTTTTTTCCCCCCTATGATTATACTTTTGAGAGCTTTACAAATTTTGTCAAGTTTTTAGTGCTGTTAACTTTCCCATCTGGTTTAAACTTTATTTTCAACTTTGCCTTTTGTATTATTTTGGCACAGGCATCATGTCGCAGGAATTTTTCTTTAGACGTTGTTTTATCAGATGCATTTGGCCAACCCGTACATAAGGATAACGAGGTTTCTAATCCTGGCTTGAAGACTTCTCAAGTTAATGCTTTCTACTTGAAAGGAAGTTGGAATTTTTTACATTCACATTACCCTTTTCTGATTATAGCAGGTTTTTGCTTCACTTGTATATGCTGACACGGGGGCTCCAGTGGAGAATACAACTGACGATGAAGCTCCTCTTTTGTCTAGCTATGATGGAATTGAATTTTCTTCTTGTGAAAGACCTAGTAAGTTTTTGTTGGGTCGTGCATCGTTTAAGCTCAGGATATCTCAGGTAAACATACCATGCATGATCGCTGGTTCTATTTATAATACTTCAATATCTGATATTATTAACTGATCAAGTGGAGAAACAGTGCACTTATATTTAAAAGAAGAGATCAAGCAAAGAATTATTGAAATGAAATTTCAGTTCACTTTCCCTCACTTGAATCTGAATTTCTTCTTATTATTATGCAGAGAGAATACATGTGTATATAGGTCTAAGCCTCCTAATTAATTCCACTAATTAGGAGAAAGTTAAACTAAGAAAGGAAAGATTGGATACAATAATATCTTAAGCAAATCCTAATTGATACTACTAATAAAGGCAATAGATACAAATAATAAAACAATATCTCAACACTCCCCCTCAAGGTGGTGCATATAAATCATATGCATCCATCTTGTCACTTGTGTAAGTAATCCGAGGTTTCCGAAGAGATTTTGTAAAGAGGCCTGCAAGTTGATCTCTGGAATTGACAAAGGAGGTTTTGATGGTCCGGGGGGTAATCTTCTCTCTAAGAAAGTAACAATCGACTTCTATATGTTTTGTCCTTTTATGAAAAACTGAATTGGAATAAATGCTTTAACCACAAGAGCTCACATGTGGCACGAGCCATGGTTCGACACTCAGCTTCTGTATTTGATCAAGCAACAACATTTTGCTTTTTGCTCTTCCATGAGGTCAAATTTCCACCAATAAAAACACAATAATCTGATGTAGAGCGTCTATCACTTGCATCTCCTGTCCAATCAGCATGTGAATATCCAATGGTATCCTAAGCAAATCCTAATTGATACTACTAATTAAGGCAACAGATACAAACAATAAAACAATATCTCACACCCTCAATCAATATCTTTTCTAGGATAAAATGACAATCTACTTATGTGTTTATTCCTCTCATGAAATATTAGATTGGAAGAGAGGTATGATGCAGATTGATTATTACAATCGAGTTGCATAGAACCTGTATCTCATAAAACATCAATTCTTGAAGCAAGTGTTTCAGCTACCAAAGTTTACACATAGTATGAGCTGCCCAAAGCATGATAATTGACCACTTTGCTTGACCTAACAACAACCAATTTCTTTTTACACTTCTTCGAGATGGGTTTCATCCATTAAGTACACGATACCTAAACTGGATCTCTTATATCTAGCATATCTCCGACTACTAGCCTTGTTTGCATTATAGAATATTAAATTTTTTTAATGTGTCACCCGTCCACACAAATGAACTCCATTTCGGGTGATCCTTGATATAAACTAGATCCAAAAAACTGTATCACGGCTATTAGTTCAAGACAAGTTGATGAATTGACTTGTAATAACCTGGTTTACTTTATTTTATTTCAAATTCAATCTAAATATTTTGTAAATGTAATTTCTTTCCATTATTCTCTGGCTCCACCATTAATTATTGTTCCATTTGCCAGCTTTCATCCAAGTGTGATAACAGGTTGTTCCTCATCAGATTTTGTGTGCCAAAGTTAGGAAATCATCCTTTCCTTCAGACACACACCCGTCCAATTCGATGCATCTCTAGGAGCCGTAATAGTAAATTATCCACGTTGGTGTGGAAAAAGTCAACACATGCTCTCCAAAGGCTCAATTTGTCACAATCTTCCACAATTGGTGCTGCGTCGTTGGAATGTATGAATTCTAGCCATGAAGAAAAAACCAATCCACTAATGAAGCGGTTTAGAGTTGGACTTGACAAGATATCGGTATCAGTTATGGCCGTGCCCACCTTAAAGCAGTCTGGTGTGGAATGTAATTCTCATGTATCGACTACTAATCAGGTATTTTTCTGTTTCTTTTTCATTATTATTTAATCTCAAACATAAAGAAACATATTAAATTATATTTAAAATAAACAGAAAATGAAAATTGGCATGTGCATGCCAATAGGTAATAGCTTTGTTAAAAGAGTCCCACATTAGATGAGATACAACCTTGAAATATGATTATAGGTGAAAGCAATCCTCACCTTATTAGCCGGTTTTGTAAGGTTGTGTTAGACCCAACCACAAATTTCAAGAAGCTTTTATGGTTATTATTCCTAACATGTTACACTCACTACAGGGTGGTGTGAATGTCACCACAGAGACAACTTGAATATCTTGTTTTTCCAAAAGCTTATTCACACATTTTATGTTTGTGACTTCTGTACCTCAATTGTAATTGGCGTTTGGACTTTTGAGAATATTAATTGTGTTAAGAATGTGTGGTTTGGCCTAACTCAACCATACAAAACCAGATTGGAGGGTGAGGGTTGCCTCACTTATAAATACATGTTCAGACTATATATTGTCCGATGTGGGACTCTTAACAAATGTAAGTGATGTAACCTTGATATTTTCTGTAACATTCTTACATGCTTTAAAAACTTTCCAGATGTTTCCTTTACCTACTTCTTTATGATATTTGTCTTTCATAAATAATCTGTGTAGTCATTCGCTTTTAACTATAACTCTAAACTTATATAAAATTAGGTTGAGAATGGGTTTCCTGTAAGCTTGGACGACAGATCTCTTAACTATGAAGAAGCAGACGACTCTCCTTCTGAATCATCAGAGAGTACAGGGGAGAGAAACTCACCTTCAAATAATATGGAACATAGAAGATATCCAATATCTGATATGACCATTTTCAAATACTGCTTAGCAGGCTTGGCTGAGAGATCTCATATGCTTAAAGAAATTGCCATCTCTGCTTCTGATGAAGACATTTCAGAGTTGGCTTATCATGTTTCACACTATTCAGGATGTTCCCACCATGGGTAGGTGATACTTTTCATGCAGTGATATTTTTCTTGCAGTAATTGTGAATCAAGTAATAGAATGATACTTTATGTCTTATTACTATATGCTAGTCAGTTGACCTTCATCTTAGATCAACATGACTTGATACCCGAACTAAGGATCCAAGATCCAAGTTCGGCGTCGAACCCATCTAGAAAGGACTACGTCTTGCACTTGTCCTTATACTTGGTCAATTGACATGGGACTTTGGATATGGCATGAGCGGTCTAGTGGAGCCATATTTGGATTGAAGCTCCCTGATTCATAGGAAAGAGGTTAGACCACACCTCTATAAATACTCTAACATAATACATGTAAAGCGAACCTATTCTAAATCTTAGAGAACACTAAATCCTAATACTCGTGAGACCTTGACCATAGCTTGGTGCTAGTGAGATCAACCCCGTTAGTACTTCAAGAACATCTAGCGTTTACCGTGGGGCCACGATGAAACTTTCCTCAACCACATTCAAAATCGATCAAATCATTCACTTGGCACACAGTCATCGACCACAACTTGAGGATGGTGAGAACTAAGTTCTAGTTAAAATTCAAGCTGTCGTTCAGGGGTTGTGATGCCAAAATGAAACTTTCCAAGAATATGTCTATTGAAGATAATAGGTAAAAAGCTGTTATATCTTGTTCCTCAGCCAAAGGTTGATTTATATAGTGAGAATACAATCATTACAATTAATTCTCTCATTAATGGAGAATAAAGAAAAATAAGTGAGAATAAACAGAAATAAACAAATGGGAAAACAAAATATTCCCTCCCCCCTCCCCTTCAAGTTGGTGCATAGATATATATCATGTCCAAGATTACACTACTTATTGCTACAACTCCTTGTTTTTTGCTCCTCGATGTCACAAGATTACCCTAAACATAGGTACACTATCTAGAGGTTGATCTTCTATCTGTGACTGAACCTGCCCAATCAGCATCAGTGAAGATAGAAACATTTCTTTCACTAGTCTTCTTAAAATATAAGCCTTTTCTAGGATTTACCTTCAAATATCTCAATATTCTATAGATTTTCTCAAGATATTATTCGAAAGAAGAATGCATAAACTGACTTATTACACTCCCTGAGAAAACAATATCAGGTCGGGTGTGTGACAAATATATCACTTTTCCAACCAACCATTGATATCGTTTAGTATCAACAGAAACATTCTTTCAATAAGTCTAGAATGTATTTCTACTGTGAAACCACAATACCATTCTTTGACCGAGCAACCTCCATACCTAAAAAATATCTTATGAATCTCAAGTCCTTGATTTCAAAGTCTACTGCCAATTTCTCTTTTATTCTTGCCATTTCAACTGTATCGTCTCCACTAAGGACAATATCATCAACATAAACAATAAGAGCGACAACTTTCCCATCGTGGGAGAACTTTGTGAACAAAGTGTGGTCAACCTGTCCTTGAATGTACCCTTGTTTCTTCATGGATTGAGTGAACTTTTCAAATCAAGCTCTAGGGGATTGCTTTAAGCCATACAAAGACTTATTTAGTTTGCATACATTTGATCGAAATTTGTTTTCATAGCAAGGAGGAATGCCCATATATATTTCTTCTTTTAGATGGCCATTAAGAAAGACATTCTTAACATCTAATTGATGTAAGAGCCAATCTAGGTTAGTAATAAGAGATAAAAGAATTCTGACAGTATTCAATTTTGCAACAGGAGCAAATGTCTTTTAGTAGTCTATATCATAGGTCTGAGTAAAGCCTTTAGCCACCAAGCGAGCCTTGTACCTTTCAGTTGACCCATCTAAATTATACTTCATAGTAACACCCATTTGCATCCAACTGTCTTCTTGCCATTTGGTAGTGTCATAACACTACAAGTTTTGTTCTTTTCAAGAGCTTTCATCTCCTCAAGTACAACTTCCTTCCACTTTGGAATTTCTAGAGCTACCTGTACACTTTTTGCAATTTTTACACTAGACAATTTTGATGTGAAGGCATACAGAGATGTAGACAAATTTGAATATGATATAAAATTGGACATGGGGTGTTTAGTGCAAGATCTAACAGGTTTTCTAATAACCACAGGATCATCTATATCAGGATAAAAAATACGACTCTCAGATACACAAATAGACTTATCTGTACTTTTCTTAGGAGGTTGATCATTCCCCAGTTTAGATTCTTGGCAGTGTTGAGATGTGGACTCGTCCCTTCCTTTGTGGTGTTTTTTCACAAAAACCTTCCCTTTCCAAGTCCTGTTTTCTAATTCAAATCTGTTTTCTTGAATTGACTCATTATTTTGTGGCATTTCAATTAGATCATCATTATCATCGTTTTCAAGATTCTCATTGTTTTCTACAAGAGAAAATGTAGGCTCGGATTCACAAAGTTCCTTACTCTTGATAGGAGTAGGATCAGATAAATAATCATGACCACTTTCTGTTGGTGCAGATGTATAAGTCTCAAAGTTTTGTGATACATGCAAAGATAAATTATTTCAAGAACTCATGTCCTCGATTTGAAACGAGTCTTTTGAAGATGAGTGTCATAAAAAAAATGTTTATTTTCAAAGAATGTAACGTCCATATTGACGAACATTTTTTTTTGTTTTTTGGATCAAAACATTTATGTCCTTTTTGGGTTAGGGAGTATCCAACAAAGACACATTTTATAGTACGTGGTTCAAGTTTTTCAACATTTTTATGTTCATGACAAAGACGGTGCAACCAAATATTTTTAATGTCAAATCAGTTAAAACACGAGTACTAGAAAAACATTCTTTGAAGGTATTAATTGAAGTTTGAAAATTGAGAATTTTGGAGGGTATTCTGTTAATTAAATATGCATATGCTAAAATAGCTTCGCCCAACAAATAGTTTGGTACTTTATTTGAAAAAAGTGGAGCTCTAGCAACCTCCAATATATGTCCATTTTTCCTTTCGACAATTCCATTTTGTTGAAGAGTATTAGGACATGAACTTTGATGTACAATCCTATTTTTTCGAAAAAAATCATTCAAGATAGTTTTGAAATATTCTTTGCCATTATCACTTCTAAAGACTTGGATATTTGTTTGAAATTTGGTCTGCACCATTGTAAAAAAAATTCTTTATAGCCTGACAAACATCTGATTTCCCTTTTAACAAGTACACTGAACATACTCTTGTATGGTCATCTGTAAATGTGATAAACCATTTTTTGAGAGAGAATGTACTTGTCCAATTAGGGCCCCAAACATCACTGTGAATAATAGAAAAACGTTTTGATGGTTTATAAGGCTGTATAGAAAATTGGGAGCGATGATGTTTTACAAATGCACATGCTTCACATTTAAACGAAGAAAAATTCTTATTATGAAATAACTTAAGAAACAAGTGTTTTAAATAACGAAAACTAGGATGACCTAATCTTAAATGTCATACTATAATGTTGTCATCTTTATTATTCAAAACAGAAAAAGACTCAAAGCAGGAACTAGTGTAGTCCAGAACGAGTGTTGGGTCTTAAGATTTTACGATCTTACGTGCTAAAGTTTCCTTTTAGTGCCACGATCAGAGAAAAGTTTTTTTTCATGCACTTTGTAGTTAAGATCGAGTGCTGCGTCTTAAGATCTTACGATCTTACGTGTTGAAGTTAACTTTTATATGACTATCATGATAGGAGAATACATAATATTTTAGATGATTAGACTTGTTTGTTAGATTTATGTTTTTTAAGCTATTTATTTTGAACAAAGTCTTTTGAACTTGTTAAATTATGGAATGATGGTCATGAGGTATTAATTAAATTGATTAAATTTTGTGACTTATAGGTTATTTTGTCCATGTATTATAATTTTCATGTTTTTATGTGTATACATATATGTTAAATTACCATTTTACCCTTCGGTAAGATCGTAACTGTCGTGCTACGATCCTAGTTTTACTATCTTTCACAGGCCGTCTGATCCTACTTAAGTTTCCGTGCTTGACTACCTTGGCAGGAACTTATTGTTTTTGAAGGTAGTTGTGATGCAGATCTAATGTCAAGGTAGTAGAGTCCTCCACTCTCCTTAGCACTGCCAATCATCTTCCCCGAGTTCAAATCCTGAAAGATACAGTGAGATCGGAAAAAATTAGTTTGACAGTTTATATCTTGGGCTAATTTACTGGCGGACAATAAATTACAAGATAAGTTTGGAACATAAAGGATAATTTTTAAGAGTTAACATTGGAGACAACACAATTGACCCTTTACCTGCAATGGTTGAAAAAGAACAATCTGCGGTTTTTATTTTTTGATTACCTGCACATGGACTATGTGAAGAGAACAAAGTAGATTCATCTGCCATGTGATCAGAGACATCTGAATCTACTATCTAAGTAAGACTGAGACTGACACTAAGAAATGCAGAATTATCTTTTGTTGCTATAGAGCAAGAAGGGGTTGGAGACTCGAGGAGTTTGTACAGTCTCTGTAGTTGTTCTGTAGTGAGTGGAAGATGAGTCGGAGGGGATTGCTTCCCTTGAAATAGAATTACTAGCATGAAATGCACGACCATCTTTCTTCTTCCAGTTAAGAGGTTTGCCTTTGAGCTTCCAACAAGTTTCACACGTATGCCATTCGCGCTTGTAGTGATCACACCAAGGAACTTTGTCTGACCTTTTTTCCTCGTCAAGGGTCCTTGTAGGCATAGCTGAGTTTTCAGATTCAAAACTTCGTGGTATCTTGCTTATCATAATTCCTTACCGTGCCTCCTCCCTTTTAATTTCTGCAAAATTTCACGAAGAGTTGGCGATGATATTTTTCCTAAAGCTCTATGTCTTACCTCATCAAGGTCTTTATTGAGCCCAGTGAGAAACATGAATACACGATCATTTTCTTGCCTCTTGAGAAACAAAACAATGTCTTTTGTACACCTCAAATTGTCATCATAACAGAGATTCAACTCTTGCCGCAGAGTCAACAGCTAATTGTAATAAGCAGTTACACTCCTGTCGCATTGTTTTGCATGCCATAACTT